GCCGCGGGGCGGGGGCGGGGAGAGCCGGGACCCCGGGGCAGCGTCATTGCCAGCCTGCCGGGCTTGGCAGAGTAAACGAGGGCTTAGTCGCCAACCCCGTGGACTGGGTTTACATCGGACCCATAGAAGCCTGCATACTCCGGAGTGTGGGATTACCCATTTCCTTGGCCAGCTTGCCACCCGGTTCCCACTGCTCCCCTAGAATCCTGACTTTTTCTTGACCTCTTGCCGGCCTCTTTGACCCTGAGCTGGGCCAAGGTTTTCATCTCATCCCCAGAAGATCAGCGGTTAAACATTCCGGGGTAGCCCAGGAAGAGGTTTCCCTATCTGGGAACCCAAAGCTTAACCTGGAAGCTTTGCCTGTCTGGGCCATTTGCACCTTTGCTTTGGGAAAGGTTGAGGACCCAATAACGGCACTTTCCACCCAAAGACCTTAGCGGAGTTACCTATTTGGGGGCCCAATGCTTGCTTTAGGTAGAAACCATTCCTGAAGGAAGTAGGTATGCACTGCTTACAGAATTGGGTTGCTAGCAGTCATCTGTTGCTAGGGCGAAGATAATAAAAATTCCTATAAGAAAACAAGAACTTCCTGTTATTAAGAGAGTTATGCTGATACCTACCTAGTTCAAACATGGGTCATCTCTAGATGCTGTCATGTAATACAGCATCTGAGACAAGACATCCATCAAGAACACTCTAGTAGAATAAAATTTTGGCCATGGTCCCACTTATGTAAATGGTATTTGACACATTGGGTCCCCAAATTTCAGTAAAGCTCGAGTGTGGGGACCGTTTTTACAATACTTGATTTATGACATCATAGCAATAATTCAATGAAAAAAACTAAAGGCAGAAAGGTTGTATGCTTAATATTACTATGCCCAGTTTCAGTAATATTTTCTACACTTGAGGGAAAACCACTGAGTTTGCTCTCTTAGGACAATTCTCATTTAACAATTCATGAGTTCTCTCTTTTTCTTGTATTCATGTATATCAGGTTTGCATCAGTAAAATAGGGCACAATTTTGCATTTAGAATGCTAAGTTCAGAAGGGCAAGAAACTTGAATTCCACATCAGTGTTTGTCACTTTCCATCTGACCCTGGATTAATTGCTTTACCTCCTTGCTCCAATTTTCTCATCTGTGAAAAGGGAATGTTAACTACCTTTTTTATTCTAGGCAGGAGATGGCAAACTTTTTCTGTGAAAGTGGCACATAGAGAGTCTTTTGGGCATAGAGTCTCCTCAACTACTTATCTCTGCCATTGTAGTGTAAAAGCAGGAGTAGACAATATAAAAATGAATGTGGCTGGATTTGGCCCATGGGTTTTAATTGCAACATAAAATATTATATGCAAAAGTTGCTTGAAAGCAAAAAAGTCTCTGCCATCATGGAGATGAACAACAATCATTTCAGTGTCATTTTTTTCCAACAGATGTATATAAACTACCTGTTTTTCCAACCCCTCCCCCCCAGGACTTTTAGAGTAATGCAACAGAAGGCTTTTGAGGAAAGCAGATATCCCTGGCAGGAATCCTTTGAGAATGTTGCAGTGTGCCTGCCATTCCGCTGCCCGAGGTGTGGAGACCATACCAGATTTAGAAGTTTGTCATCCTTGAGGGCCCATCTGGAATTCAGTCACAGCTACGAAGAAAGAACCCTCTTGACAAAATGCAGTCTCTTTCCATCTCTCAAAGACACAGACCTAGTCACTTCCTCAGAACTCCTGAAACAAGGAAAATTGCAGAGCAGTGGCAACGTGGTAAAGCAGAAACCAAGCTATGTTAACTTGTATAGCATTTCTCATGAACACTCCAAGGACAGGAAGCCATTTGAGGTGGTGGCAGAGAGGCCTGTGTCCTACGTGCAGACCTACACTGCGATGGACCTACGCACAGACTCCCTGGATGGGCCACGGTCGAGTCCTGGACTTCCCACCTCAGACACCAAAGCTGCTTTTGAGGCACATGTCAGAGAAAAATTCAATCGGATGGTCGAGGCTGTGGACAGGACCATCGAGAAGAGAATCGATAAACTCACCAAAGAGTTGGCCCAGAAAACTGCAGAACTGTTGGAAGTTCGGGCAGCTTTTGTGCAGCTGACTCAGAAGAAGCAGGAAGTTCAGAGACGAGAGCGGGCCCTGAACAGACAGGTGGACGTGGCTGTGGAAATGATAGCTGTGCTGAGGCAACGCCTGACAGAATCCGAGGAGGAGCTTCTTAGGAAAGAAGAGTAAGTGGTGCTGAGACAGGATGCTAGCCCATTGCTCCAGGAACCTGTCCCCCATGCTACAAGGCTCTGTTCAACCAGGTTTGGTTTGTATTATTTTCAGGTGCCTTGAGTGCATTTCATTGATATAGTTGAACCAGGAGACACAAGGCTTTGATATTATTTACCCTTTCTGTGTAGGGTCTGCAACCAGCAACATTAAAGTCAACATATTTAATTCCTTCTCACCTGGGAAGCTGTGAGCCACAGATAATGTTTTTAGACAGGGGAGTAGCACAACCTATCCAAGGTGGGATCCCTTCTTGGCACCAAATGGTGGGCAAGGGTGAGGTGAATGGAAAGGCAGAAAGGGTGCTGGGTGAGCCATTCCTTCTTGAGATAGTCTCCATGTTATAAAGTCAGGAACCTGAAATGCTGTCTTCTTCAAGTATAAACATATGCCTCAAGTCTAAGTTTGGTTTATTTGCCATTTTGGTCTATCTGCCCATGTTAATTAAATGTTGATAGCTGAGAATCCAGTTCATTATAGTTTATACTTGGGAGAAGCAGACATTAGGAAAGACATTCTGATGTTATACTTCTATGGTTTAAGTTTGAGAATTTTCTTTTGGTAAAATAATGTGTGATATTAGAATAAGTGTTGCCCCTTGCAAAGAGTTGAGACTGGTTTTCACAAGCTATGGATCATAGAAGCTATTGCTTTGAAAAAGTCATCATACTTGGATAAGCAATTTCTTTATCAGTAGTGTAGATTTAACCCAAACTAGAAAATAATACATAACAATTCAGTGTATTTCCCAAATACAGAATGACAAATTTAATGTAAATGGAGGTTCAGAATTCATGGAATCAAAAGACATAAAAATTGATAAGAGTAAAACATTGTAGAAGGTAGTTCTGCTACTGAGATTGATTTTCATCCTTTCTTTGTCCTCTGCCACTCTTCTATCTTGTGTTGTCTCTTAATATGTAATAATTAACACTTCTTGAGAAGTCCTATATATCCAAGAGATCATAACGTGTTGTTGCTAAGTGCTTACATTCTACTTTGAGGGGAAGCCTAGACTTTTTTTGTTCAGATTAGATATTTTAAAAATTATATAGGGAGGATAGATTTGGGTCAGCTGCTGATTTACTTTGCCACTAGAGAAATGATCTCAAATGAAAAATATTTTCCTTTTGGCTTCTGGTGTTTCTTGATAGAAAGTCAGTGTCTTGACCCGTTAATGGCCACTTGTGTGAAGTAACCCCTAGGGTGAACCACACTGCATTGCTGGAAATACAGCAATTGGGGTTGTTCTATGTGTAACCCAAACCTAGAACTAGAATCAAATTAGTAATATTTTTGTTGGATTCAAGGGCAGTGAGTTAAAAAAGGGAGTCCAATTAATTTTGTGCATTTATTGTTGTATCATGTTTATTAATTACACAAATAATGAGTGTGAGATTTGATGTGGTGGTTGCTTGGAGTGTAGAAAGGCAAGATGATAGGAGGGATATGGTTAAATATAGGTTATTGTCAAGGATATAACTTTTGCTTTGGGTGGTAGGTTCCAGGTTGCCTTATTATTAAAAATAACCAAATAAAAATGAGCCATACATGGGTCAGTTGTGATAATATGTTATGGTGAATCCAAGGTTGTCCCCTGAGCACCAAGTAAAAAACGAATACAGACTTGTAAAAAAAATTTTAATGAGATAAAGTTGTATGTGTTAAAAATATCCTCTCCAATCCCATCCTCCAGAGTCAGCCACTGTTAAGTTCAGTAAATGTCCTTCTGGACCTTTACTGTGTATATGCAAGCATATGTAATTTATGCACACAGAGTTTCTATGTTTTTCCAAGTGAAATCATGACACATCCTATTCTTCACTTGCATGTGAAATTGTTATTGTTGTAACTTATGTCTCAGGCATCTTTTGTGCACTAAATACAGAATTATGCCATTCTTTTTGACTGTCGCATGGTATTCCGTGGTATGAATGCATCATGATCCATCTAACAAATTTGCTATTGATGAAGACGTAGCTTTGCTCTATTTTCCTAGTATTAAAAATAGTGCCTTTCTTAATATCCTTGTACATGTTCACATTTTTGTGAGTATACCTGAGGGTAAATTACGAATTGTTTTTTAGTATGTCATTTATCAGAGAAAAGCAGTGATTAAAAAAAAAAAAAACACACTTGGAATAAAAATGCAGGAAATGACCTTAAACTTTTAAACATAAAATAAACAAAGTCTTTATTTTTTAAAGACTTTACTTGGGTCTGTCCCATCAGTTTCTATATTCAAGCCTCATATAATCACTCTCTCTGTGCATCAAATGGGACTGAAAGAGTCTTGTTTCCAGGGAGGACACTGGAGCTCTTGGTTCGAGCGAGTGACTGTGGACAGCACCCTCAGTGTGTACAGTGTCTGGCCTTCCCTTCCTCCCCTCGCCATCTGAATGGGGACACAGAGCAAGCTGCCCATCTGCCACACCATTGACACCGGGTTGATTTGACTGGATCTGCCTGTCTAGTTGGTGCTCCTTCCCTCCTCACCGCTCCCTCTGTGAGCTATAACTTTCACCAAAGAGGTGGCCTTTCAGCTACAGGAAGACCCTATTTGGCCAGGGTACACACCAGGAATTGTGCTCCCTGCCAAACACCTCCACAGGAGTTCTCCAGTCCCATTTGTGAGAGAAAGTGGGTTGTTACCATCACATGCACAATTGACTTACACTCTGGGGACCCTTGGAAACACAGATGGTAGATTTGGTTTTAAAAATGCAAACATCTATTATTTAACATTCCCATAAGGCTCTCCTGCTTATGGATTTTTCCTTCAACCTCAAAAATCTTTTCTTTCAAACTGAAATAAAAGACTCCAGGGCTGCTTCTGCCCCAAGGTCCTCTATGGACCAAATCAACTTGATTTGTAGAAATCATATGTATACTCTGTCACAGAGGAAGTTGTTTGAATTGGCAATACAGTTGAGCCTTGAATGACTCAGGTTTGAATGTGCCACTGAGTTTTAAACTGTGATATGCAGATTTTTTTGTGCCTCTGCCACCCCTGAGACAGCAAAACTAATCTCTCCTCCTCCTCCTCTTCCTCCTAAACCTGCTCAATCTGAAGAGCATGAATAGGAAGACCTTTATGATGATTCATTTCCACTTAATGAAGAGTAGATATCTTTCCTCTTCCTTATGATTTTCCTAGTAACATTTTTTCTCTAGCTTACTTTAGTGTAAGAATACAGTTATATAATACATATATACAATATGTGTCATTTATGTTATCGGTCAACAGTAGGCTACTATAAGTTTTTGTGGATTCAAAAGTTGTATGCAGATTTTTGATTGTATGAGACACTAGTGCCCCTAACCCCTAGGTTGTTCAAGGGTCAGCTGTGTTTTGTACTTTTGTACTGGCAAGTCTCACTTTATCTCTGTAGAGAGGTATCTATATGTCTTGGGAGTGTAAATCCCAGAAACAAGTTGTTCATTGTCTTCACAAAGTCAGTGTGACTTTAAAAGTCCAGTTGAAACAGATACTTACTTATTGAAGAGTATTTGGAGCTGCTGGAGAGCACTACCCATAATCAGGTAAATCAATCCTGGCAAACTTGCAGTAAGGTATCTCTTAACAAGAAAGGATGAACTTGGTAGCTAGTTGCTGTCTGAGTTGGTCTCGTGAGGTTTAGAGACTGAGTGTCATCCCAAATTTACTTACACATTCTTCTGCCTGTAGGGTTGGGAAGTCCCGAGTGCTCTGTAATGTGCTCAGCACTGTGCTAGGTGTGTGTAGGGAACATAAAATGCTTGGTGTCTTTCCCTAAGTTGCTTATGCTTTGTAGGAAGAATAAAGCACACCTACAAACACGCTCATGTCCAAACCCAGGAGAGTTTTGCTTCAAAATAAGCCACAGTTTCAAGCTGATGAAATATTAGAGAACAGATTTTTCAGCATGTAGAGGCCACACTGAGGGAATGAGGAGGAGGGATGGAATTTTCACTGATGACTAGAGGAGAATGACCTTGAAGGGACAGCAGAGGGCTGCTAGAGGTGGCCTGTGGGTGGACCATGTGATTTTTGATTTGAGAACTGGAAGGCACCTCTGTCTTCTTCAGGGTACCACGCTCATTTTACAGATGCAGAAAATAAAGCCCAGAGCAGTGGAATGACTTGCCCAAGGACAAAGATTTAGTAGCAAAACTGAAGCTGGAATCCAATTTCCCTGTCTCTCTGCCGAGTGCTTTTTCCATTAGTTCGCTATGTCCCAGCCAGACTTCTGAAAATGTGGGGGTTTTTTTGCCCAGAGCGTCAAGACTTATGTAATACTGAATGTGGCCCATTTTGGAACAGGCTTGCTTCTTTGCTATTTTGAGAGGGCTGCCACGGTGACATCATTTATTTTTCTGATGTGATTAGAGAAAATGTCAGCTGGCATCTGAGGTGTTGGGAAGTAGGGAAAGGGTGGCGTCATCAGCGTGGTGATGACACTAAACTTCCGGAAAACCCAGCCCAGGGTTTTTCACTTGTCTCTGCTGTCCTTGCTCAGTCAGGGTGGGGCCAGTGCCATTGCAGCCTTTGATTTCAGCGAGAGACCTCTTTGTGATTCCATCTCTAATTTCCATCTTACCCCTTGCGAGCAACATTAGATATAATCTGTTTTTTTTCTTCCTTCTTTGTTTGCCCCTGGAATCATGCAGAAGAGAAATCTTTATTGAGTACCCACTGAATACCAGGTACTGTACTAGGTTCTGTTCATATGGTAGTAAACCATATGAGTCCAGTTCTTGCCTTCATGGACCTAATAAACCAGAAGAGAAAATGAACATTAAGCAGATGATTAGTGTTGTAATAAAAGACATAGCAGAGAGCTAGTTAATATCCAGTTTGGTTTCTGTCCATAGCTGGCTTTGGCATGCTGGCAAGATTGACTTGGTGACTTGCTTTGTACATCTAAACCCTCCTGCCATTTAATTAAGTCATTCCTAATTTTTGATGAGCTAA